AGCACCCGGAAAGGGTGTAATCACTAATAAAGCTCTGAAGCTGCTTTCGCGGAAATCTTTGACTTATCCCGTCGCAATAATCAATGCCATGCGCGTGGAGACCGCTGAAGCTATGAATTCCAAAGAAGGTGGGTTCGATATTTTCCCAGGATTATCGTCCCATTAACCTGCTGTCAGCTCCGTTTAAGCACGCTGAAAAGGTGATTGTACGTCACTTTGAGAATGACTCGTCAGATCACCATGTGATTGGCGGTTAGGGCTAGTGGAACGAGTAACAAGAGGATTCACTCTTAATGAAACTACTGGCATCTTGCTTATGGATGTCTCAAAAATATTTGACATGGCGTGACATGCGGACCTCCTGTATAAACTAATCCAAAAGGGCTTCCCGTTTTGCTTTCTGGTACTGCTGAAATCCTTCCTTGAAGGTAGGAGATTTCAGATCAAAGTTCACAATGATCTGACGACAACTCGGTATATTACAACCGGTGTCCCTCAGGGTTCGCTCCTAGGACCAATGCTTTACTCACTGACGATACTGCAGGCCCATTTGTGGTCTGGTACACGACAGGCTGCAAAGAGCGGTGGAGGATGTATCAGAGGGGGCTGATTGGTGGTTGATTAAAAGTAACCATTCGAAAACGTAGCCAATCTATTGCACGAAAAGACGTCGCGGCGCCCCGTCTGAGGTTTCAATGAATAGAGTTCGTATACAATGGGAAAGCTCCGCTACGTATCTCAGTGTCATTCTTGGCAAAACAATGACTTGGTAGAATCATATTGGAGCGTTAAAAACTAAATCCCAAATTATGTTTCGGCAGCTGTAACCATTATTATGTAAGCGTTCAAAATTAAGTTTGATTAAAAAAATTCGGCTCTTTAAGGTGGACATAAGACCAGTAATGACTTGTGCGGCTTGGTGTATTATTGCTAAAACACACATGCGAAATCTGCAGGTTATGCAAAGCAGGAGGGTGTGCTTGTTACTGACGCCCCTCGCTGTAGCCAATAGGAATCTCGCAGCAACTTTCTGTTACGCGAGTCAGTGTACTACACGGTCGAGCAACTTCGCAAGCACAAAATACCGCGGCTGGCACTGTAATTAAAATTAATTCTGTCAGTGATTTTAATAATGCCTTAACGTTCCCTGTCCTAAAAGATTCGCTTCTTCCTCTTTGCTCTCTTTCTTCCTTCTCTCCTTTCCTGCCTGCTTTTCCTTAAAATTGTGTGGTTTCTGGGTTACCAGCCTGATAGATAAACTGAAAAGCAATGTTTCACGCAGTTTAGCCTAGCTCCCCTAATGTTGGTTTGCAAAATTTTACATCTCGCATTAATATGCAACCTAATCCCCTTTACTCACACAAGTCTGTTAAGAGGATCCGAAAAAATTAGTCGTGTATCACAAACAATAGACAAAAACATCATACGGCTGCCGAATCTCCGGCTGGTGCGCTGGTGGTAAAAGTGGCAGCAAATACGATTAACAGCTGATGCTTCTCGGAAAAGCTTCACTAATCACCGTCGAATTTTTCATTGGTATGCTGCCTGTCGTCGTGTTCATTCCACTCACATTAAATCGTTTATTTGGGAAGTGAGCGCTGGGTTGTAAACCAGCTACCCGCCAGATGATACAAAACCAAACAAACCCACAGTCAATTTTAGCACGTATAAAACGTGCTAGTATATATGGCTTTGAACTCCACAGCAATGAAACGTCGTTTTCTTTTTTTATTTCCGGTTTAAGCTTTCAAGTATTTCATTAGGGATGGCTGCATAGCATAACGAACACAAAGTGATTTACTACATGCAGAGAAGATGTCACTTGGCTTTTTGGCTTTCGTTCTTAGGATGATTGGCTAGGAAGTATTGTGGTCGTACAAACGGCTTGAAATATCTCATTAACCTCTCTTTCTGTCCACAATAAGTGAAGTTTGGCGCGACATCATAAATAAACTGAGCAGCGCGTTACTATAAGAGGATCTCGGACTCTTATTAGAGGAATGCGTATTCTTGCTCGATTCTAGTTTAGTTTCAAAACTGAAAACAACTGGGTCTACTACCCGCAAAAGAATCGCAACAACACGTCAAGCTGTGAATTTTCCTAGTACGATTATCACAATCAACAGAAGTAGACAGTATGGAAAACACAAGTCAGTCCATCATTCCACAGACCTGCCCAACACTCCCAATGATCTCAAATATTGTCATATTAATATGTGTCTTATAGCGATTTGACAAAAAAATGCGACTCTTGACTCGATAGACAAGCGCTACTTACAAAGCAGATTCGTCATTTAAGTAACTGGAGTAGTGAAGGCTGAAGCTAATGTCAACATTCAAAAACTAAAAACGTAACTTTTCTCAAAATTCACAAATCCTGTATGGTTTTCTCTCATAGATACCTCAAGACTATAAAATTTTCTGGCTCTGAATCCAGATTGGACAGCTTGACTCTGATTGTTCGATTTGTCGATGTGGCAGAGTTGGAGCAGTTGATCAACAGCATTGGACTGATTCAAACTTGTTGAAGATCTATACACGGAAGTAGAATGTCTATTACTCTTTTATTCAGAAAAGGTACATGACAGTTGTCATCACTGAGGACACATGGAAACTAAATCTGGATTACATAGCTATACTCTGTTATCGTTTTACCTGATACAGTAACACGATTCAAACGGCTTAACGTCATAGCTTCAATGTAAGAGCGTGAATGGGCATCTAGATCCGTTTTCTTTGTACTCTCACGAGTTGACAAGCTGTAGACAGGTGTTCTCCTGGATCCTCAAAGCCAACACAAACCAGCAAGCTAAACAAGATAATTCTCATTGTTCTCGAGGGTACACCTAAGTAGGGGGCCTACATTGTGCCTGAAGCGATCCTAATTACATCTATTTGAGCAACTTTTTTTTGAGGTCAGGCGGCGTGATCCGCCATCTTGTCAAGGTCTAGTTGAATAGCAGGGCGTTGGTTTAGCTCTTACAAAGAGCAGTACGAGGTAAGAGCTAGGGCATCTAGCATATATTCAATCCTGCGGTCGGCACAAGATGCCGTAGTTACAGAAGGATGAGAGTAGCCCCTAAAGTCAACACAGACTTTCAAGAACAGATTTCCAAGTTAAGTTTCCGGAGTTATTAGAAATAATTCGTACATTTTTATTTAGTGTTGAAATGTTCATCATAGCTGGTGGTATCACCATATTTGTTAAGTCATCGACATCTTCAAACTGCTCAAAAATTAAATACCAGGTTATTTAGTTAGTTCCATCTGAAGGTTTATTTTTTTGCATGGGTTGTATAAGAATAGCATGTTGCTACACTTCGCCACGATATGCAACTCTTGTTTTTCTGTATAGAGTTTCTATAAAGATCATAATCATTATTATTATTATATTTTGTTCCTTTTCTATTGCCAGAAATTTCCTTACTAGGCGGCAATTGGAAAAATTTGCCGCTGTTTGTTACCATTCCTTCTACCGAGATCACAATGGAAACAATTATTATTCTAATGAAAATTGGTTCAGTAGCGGCGGAGCTAAGGGCAAAAAACAGATATAAAAATCGCCAAACTTCATTTAATGACATTTCAGATAAAAATTTGGAGGGATTGAAAATTGGCGGATGGGGAGGGGTAATTTTTTGGCGGAAGTTTATTTCTACGCTTGCAACCCTGGAAATTGACCCTTAAAACTTTCCGTTTTTGTCGCCAGTTTTTCATAGTGTATTTACTACTTCAGCTTCATTCAAAACTGTAAAAGGCCATTGGTTTTCAAAGCATAACATAGAACACCTAAGTATTGTGATTTTAATAAATTTCGATTTTCTACCAGTTTCCGCACCTCACCAGACAACATAATCGAAATAGTTTCTAGGCTGCTGATAGGAATAATGTATTGCAGAACTATAGAAGTGCAGCCTGAGCTATGTTGCCTTTGTTTGTTTCCAGATAAACTGTTTGAAAACTTTCCTGTTGTATTCTTTCAGTGAGGTTCTTAAGACTAATTACATTGTAAGCTGAACGTTGATGCTCATCAGCCGCCCACATCTAGTTTGTTTTCCTTCCACGCAACAAAGAAAATACCTTCACAATTTGAAGCTGCAGCTGGTCATCTACAGCTGCACGTATGTCGGGATCTAATTGAGCGCCGCTATTCCAAGCACGTTGCTTCGGAATAGCTGCCGCACTATCTCCGTATGGTTACGGTCGGCACGGACTTCCTATATCCTCCTAGCTGGATATCATGCTATCGTTACGTTCTGATGACCCTATCAATTTGATCTCGTTAAATTCTCGAACAGAACGATAACCGTCAGCGGCCAATGGTGTGAGTTTACTCTAGAACTTGTTTGAAAACGTACGTTTAAACATTTATGGTAGTTCTAAATGGTGTTACTTTAATAGTGCAAGTATTCTAAGTCACTGGGTCTATCATGTCTGGTTGCCCAGATAGAAAAGTCAGGGAGAAAGAAGGGAAGAAAAAAGAAAGGAAGGAGAAGGAGGAAGAGCAAAGAAGAAAGAAGTGCGTCAATTTAAATGGTGCCTTGGCATTGCTAACTAGTATATTAAAAAAAATATTTTTGGTTGTAAATGAAGTTCCACGAGTTATTTTTGTTTATAGTGCGAGCCGCGACCTTGTGTACTTGCGAACGTACTCGACTTTGTAGTCTACTGACTCGCGCAATAAAATAATCGAGATCGTTTTCGAACAGAGCGCTTACCGCAGTATTGCCGCTTCTTAGGTTTATTATGAGAATTTACGAAATTTTCAGAAGCTTCTATGATTTTTACACCTTTTTAAAATATGTTGTGAGCCACTAGAATTGACTTTGCGAGCTACCGGTAGCTCGCGATCGACAGGTTGGTGACCACTGGTGTAAATAGATCATTATCGTTAATATGTCACAGGCAAAATGTTGATTATACATATTTTTCTAACTTTGTAGATGTTAATGGATAACGATTTCCCTTGTAATAGATATAAAAAAATGTGTTTTGCTCACCTTCAACTCAATCTCACTAAAGGGCATGGCAAACCAAGGCAACCCCACAAGGCTTTCCCTGTGACTGCCTTCAAAATCACCATAGTTGTCATTATGTGCCCACATCACAACTTGCACTACTTCCAACTTCTTTCCACTGTCTCCATCTCTCTCCCCTTTCAAACGATCGTAGAGATCTCTCAACTTTGCCACAAATTCGTCATTCTGTCTGTTGATGTTTGCAAAGGAGAAATAAATGCCAGTGTAGCTAGCCTCCTGAAGTACTTCGGCTGTTGGTACCAGGTCGAAGTCTTCTGTATTGCTGCTGGAACTGCATTTGATCAAGCGCTTCCCGAACAAACGGTCGTACCATCTACTCTTCTCCATGGCTCTGGAAACAAAAAGACTGTATTAGAAAAAAACTGGAATGATCTGTGTACGCCAATCGTTCTGACTTCCGAACTACTATGAGGTATACATTGGATATTTCCATAGATTTATTATTGAAACTGAGGTTTATGACTTAATTTCTACAAAATGCTGGTAAAAAACTCAACCTTTCTTCCAAGATTTTTGGAGAGGGGGGGGCGGTGTGTAGAAGAAAGGTAGAAGGAAAATAAAAGATTGACCAAAGAATTTGTTCCAGGTGTTCTAGGAAAGGTAATATCTCGTGCGGTCTATAACAATGAAAAAAGAAGTTACTCGTAAGATCTGTAATATTGGCACCTAACTGATTAGGTTTCAGGTTCCTACAGGGGAGATTTCACGATTTAGTTTAGTATCAATCTCTGTTAGCCTGAAATTAAAATTTTCCCCAATCTTTAATTACTGCGTCCGTAGACAAGCGTCAAGTTTTAGGATCGTTCTTTTTTCTCATTTAGCCTGTTCTCCTGGTATATAGGGTCTATTTATTGTAGCCTAATCAACAGTTATTTTGTTTCCATAGATAATGCGATATTTTAGCCTGAATTATTATTATTAATGGTTGTGTTCATCGACTTACAAAAACCATTTGACACTATAGATCACGAGAAAGTATTGAGTAAACTAGAACACATTGGAATTAGAGGTACTCCACTTAAATTATTGGAAAATTATTTACATAACACAAAACACAAGTTTAAGATTGCAAATACAACTAGTGAAGAAATGAGTCTAATGTATGGGGTCCACCAAGAACAATACTTGCGCTCCTTCTTATTGTACATAAAACGACTTATATAACCTATCAACAAAAAGTAAAAAAATAGAATTTGCAGATGACATCACCATCATCCATAACGCCAGAACTTGGACAACAAAAAGAATAGATTATATCATATCCAATATATTCAAAAGAAACTTAGATTTCTGTTATGTAAGCTCAGATATTACATATAACTATCTCAACCAGACCAACTTTCCACTTTCATTCAATAGCCTGAGGCTTATCTGGGCTTGCTATGACGTTCTTGTTCCGCCTGCAGTCATCACAGAAGCATCAGAAGCAATTTTGGGTACAGTATGTTATCTTGACAGGTAGTGCTAAAATGGTAAAAATCTCTAAGCCGGTGTTCTGGCAACAGACTTATCTATGCATGAAAACAAGAAAACCTTATTCGGTTATGAACAGATCTATCCCAAAACCTATCTGATTCGGCGCAATACGCCCTTGTGGCACAAGAGTCGATTTATGATTGGCTAATGGGAGTTCAGAACGGTCCTGGGATAGTTAAGTTTAAGATGTGGAAAAAATGCTAGGATGGTAACTTAGAATTTTTCTAGCTTCTACCAATAACTAACTTTGGTTCGTAAACCTTGTATTTGAACAATTTTTGAGAAACCAGATTTGGATAAAAATTGTTTTTGGCTGAGTTCGTGATATTTAATTGATTCACATTAATGCGTAGGCCTGAATTTCAGAGATTACTTGATTGCGTTTACTGTTGGGGCTGCAAATTGATCCAAAGCTTCCTGTCATCTACATATTTTTAAACTCTCTTAATCAGTTTTCAAACTTCACAGTTGTAGTGAGGTCGTTAATGAATTAGTCTACAGCTCTAATAAATTATAATATCGTGTTTCATTTCAAAGGTAAACGAACTTGGAAACTAGTAAAGTTTACCAAGAATCTATGAAAAGCTGCCATGCTCAAGATTTGATGAACGATGTCTGAAGTTTGAGATTCTAAGATTCTTCAACGGAAAGGAAGTACAGGTATTCCTAAAGTATTCAATAAATGTGAATGTATATGTTTTCATCGCTCTATTTCTAAAGAATGGAAACAGTTTTTGAAAACTTGTATTAAAAGCAGCGTGATAATTGAGACAAAAATGCTATCAAATAGATTGACAACATGCTTTCCATGATATGATATCTGTTCGTGAGACGAAGATTAAGTTTGAATCTCAAAGACAGTCTTCTTCTGGAAAATGCAATAAAAACTGATAAAGAAAAATGTACCTTTTAATAAATAATTCAAATAAGGTTTGAGGATTCTCCGTTGTGCAAACAATGAAGATTTAAGATAAAGCATCAATCTGATTGATTTTTTTTTAAAGTCAAGTAGAATTTGTTTATGATGAGCTATGACAAAAAATATCCTTACCTACCAAAAGCTATGAATAATGAAGGATATTCTATCAACACCAAAATAAATACCTTTCCACCATTAATTTTTGCTCTGCCCACATTGTCTCGATAAGATTTTTTCCCGTTTTAATTCTGGTTGGCACTGTCCTATCAGTATTTCTGTTTTCCATTACACTTTATAATGAATATTGTAATGCGTATCTATTTTTAAATACTATATTAGCAACACGTAGTGACCGATGTCAAAATTAAGTGCCTGTCTACAAATAAGTTAAGGAAGTTTCGGATCAAAATCAAAAATTGGCCGGTGTTCCTCAGAGTTCGGTCTTAGGACCAATCCTTTGTTCACCTTATATCCATGACGTCCCTTCCCGCAGCAACTGTGAAGTCTATCTCTATGCTGATAACACTGCACTGTTAGTCTCGTTCTGGTAACCTGGTTCGCGACAGGTTGCAGAGTGCGGTGGAGGAAGGAGGAAGTATTGGAGTGGGCGGATCGGTGGTTTTTATTAATTGTATTAATACTTCGAAAACGCAGGCAATCTATTGTACTAAAAAACGTCGCGGTGGCCCCTCACAGATATCAGTGAATGGAACTTGTATACCATGGCAACAATCTGTCAGGTACCTGGGACTCATCATTGACAAGGGGTTTACCTGGCTGAAACATACTGATATTTTGAAAACAAAATTCCAAATTACCTTTCGGCAGCTTTGTCCTTTGTTGTGCAGTAATTCAAAATTAAGTTTGATCAAAAAGATTCGGTTATATAAAATGATTATATGACCCGCAATCACCTACGCAAGCGCGGCCAAGACGCACATGCAGAGACTCCAAGTCCTGCAAAACAGAATCCTATGCGCAATCACTAACGCCCCTTGGTACGTGTCAAATGAGACCATTCGCAGAGATCTTGATATCCCATATCTAAGGGATTATGTAAAACAACAGGCACAGCGGCGTTATAATCAAGCCGAATCGCACAGCAATATTCTGTTGCGTGATTTAGTAGACTACACAGTCGAGCAAGTTCAAAAACATTCCAGGTCGCGCCTCACACTGTGATCAAAATTAAATTGTGAATTCAGACCAGTCAAAACTATTTCAGTATACAAAACCGATCAAAATTATTTTTTGGAGTTACAAAATTATTCGAGTAGTCAAAACAATAATTGCTTAAGCTATTTCAAATGATTTACTTCTTTTCTTTGCTCTATTTCTTCTTTCCTTCCTTTCCTTCTTTCCTTTCTGTCCTTCTTTCCTTTCTTTCCTTCTTTCCCTTTTCATCATAAACATGTTTGGTATCTAGGTAGCCAGACCTGACAGACTAACAGACCGACGAGACTTTTAACTAAGAGCAAAGGTCCTCCGGACCGCTCTGACGAACAATGACGAATAGTACAGTATACACATAAGTTCGACAGTATTTTGAGAACGATACATTGCGTCCGGTTTGCAAATAAGATTTTTTCTGTAACCGCTATAGTTACAAAAAAATCTTCACTTTCCTGCACTACACTTTCCTTTAATATCATGGTCGTAAAATCATAAATCCTTACAATATGTAGGGAATAAATTGCATTGCACCTAACTTAATTAAATCCTAATTTTCAGAAATTGGTCTTAAAATGTCGCGGTCGAATAACATTTGTTAGTGGATTGGATTGAGAATTAATTATTGAAAATCAGGAAGAATTTGGTACAATAATCGCCAACTTCTAGCAAAAAAAGGCATGAGAAATTTTTCATCGAAAAAAACATGTCAAAATGAATGGGTAGCAAAATCAACAAAAATTTGACAATCATCAACGGATCATTTTTGATTAGGTTTGGAAACTGCAAAAAATGGCATAAAATTATAAAATGACCGTGGAGTATACTTCACTTAGTTTATACTCTAAAATTAGTCTGTAATTGATTAAAAAATATCGGACAAGTCGACAATCTAGAACTTTTTGTAGAGAATTGTTGTCGCCCCAGTTCAGGTCTATCGAGGGAAAACATCAAATTTGCGCGTCCGACTGTGAGCAATACAACTTACCTACTTTTTCAAGCGAAAAAAATATATTTTGGTCAACATTCCATAATAACAGCATACTTTAGTGATCAGCATGTACAGCAGTTACATAAATTTGATGAATTATTCAGCTGGTCACTGCCTGTCTTTTCTCACAGAAAACAAGTAAATAAATCGAATCACGTTTTTGTTGAACACACAAACAGAAGTGGGTCAGAAAATCTCCAGTCGGGAAACTTGAAATAAACCCATTCCCAATCCTACTAAAAGCACTGCAAGAAAAACAAAGCTATTCTTTCAGTTTAATGTTCTTGTTTTTCTATGTCCGTACACAATTTTTGAATACTAACAGGAAGCCGGCAGTTTTCTAACTTTCAGGATGAAGTTTTGTGAGAAGCAAATAGAGGAGTCTTTTGTAAGCTTACTTTTTTATTGTCCTATATAAATGACTCACGGGTAAACTATTCCTTTACTTCCTTAAGATGGTTAAGGTCAGCAGACCCATCGATAAAAAGGGCTTGAGGAAAAAGAAATGTCGACAGATAATGCTCAGAAGCTATCGAAAAGTATCTAGTGCTCCACGTGGTATGGGCTTACACAACAATGTCGACCGATGCACTGATGATGGTGGCTGGTATCCCGCCAATTGAAAACTTGCATTATACTGCAGTTTCTTAACGGATATGGTGATTTTGACAGCTATCTGAAAATGATAGCAAAGAGAGAGTACGCAAACTGTATATATTGCAATGATGATACCCCTAATCATCTTCTCGAATGTGGTAGATGGGTGACTACCAGA